ATTTTTTTTTTTTAACCTCATCAATTTTGTGAGCTTAGTTCTTCACTGGGGAGGAAATGAGTCTCAGATACACCGGAGCCCTCACAGATAAATGTAGAGAAATTGACAGGAAACAGTTGGTTTCCTTTCCCGGACAAATTGGTCAGTCGGCTGGACCTCGCGCTGAGGATTTGGTGGGGAGCCGGCCACAAATGCAGAGGCTTGGCAGGTGCCTGTGATGTCACCCAGGTTCAGAGGCTGAGCAAGCCCTTCCCCGGGGTTTGCTGCCTCTCTATCACCCACCTTAGCCATCAGCATCCTGTAGGCGTAGAGTCGCTTGCCTTTCCCCTTTCCTAAGGCTCCTTCATACTTCTCCACAAATTCTTGGGCCTCTCTGGTTAGGAAAAAAAAAGGGGGGGTGAGGGGGGTAGAGGCAGAACTTTAATCCCAAACTGAAAGAAATCTGAACTATGAGAGTGTACATGTGGCTGGAAGCCTTATGTGTTTTTATACCCCTAGTTAGAATGTAAGCTCTGTGAAGGTAGGGCATTTGTCTGTTTCATTCACTGACGTTTCCCAAATGCTAAGAATGGTGCTTAGTACATGGTAGGCACCAGTAGGCAGAATTTTGGCTCCCATGACCTTTGCCCTCTGGTGGTACACCCATGAATGTCGAAAGGGAGTTTACCGATGTAATTAAGATTCCTGACTTAATTTAAAGATTTTTCTTTTTAACATTTATTTATTTTTGAGAAACAAAGTGAGACAAAGCGTGAGCGGGGGAGGGACAGAGAGAGGAGACACACAATCTGAAGCAGGCTCCAGGCTCTGAACAAGCAGTCAGAACAGAGCCTGGTGCGGGGCTCAAAGCCACAAACTGTGAGATCATGACCTGAGCCGAAGCCGGATGCTCAACCGGCTGAGCCACCCAGGCACCCCATGACTTAATTTAAAATAGGGAGATCCGGGGTGCCTGGGTCAGTTGAGCATCCAACCTTGGCTTGGGTCATGATCTCACAGTCCATGGGTTTGAGCCTCGCGTCAGGCTCTGTGCTGACAGCTCAGAGCCTGGAGCCTGCTTCAGATTCTGTGTCTCCCTCTCTCCCTGTCCCTCCCCCCCACTAGCACTCTGTCTCTGTCTCTCAAAAATAAAGAAGCTTAAAAAAAATTAAATAAATAAAATAGGGAGATTATCCTGGATTCTCGGGAAGGGCCCAGAGTGACCACATGAGCCCTTACACACAGAAGAAGGCAGAAGAGTCAGACAGATGTAGCAGAAGGGGAAGTCAGAGGAATTAGAATGAATTCTTGACCCTCTGTTGCTGGGGCCCCTCAAGAGGACACCACGTGGAAAGCAAGGGAAGGAATTGAATTCCGCAAAAACCAGAAGAGGACCTCTAGCCCCACATGGGCACCTCAGGCCTGCTACTACTTTGATTTCAGCCCGGTGAGACCTTGAGCAGAGAATCCAGCCATGCCACGCTGGACTTCTGGCCAGCAGCACTGTGAACACGTAGATGAGCACGGTCTTAAACGGTTACACTTGTGAAACTTGGGTTGCGGCAGCAAGAGAAACAAATACGGCAAAGCAGATGAAGGGGATTGAGAGGTAAAAGATGCCAGTTATAAAATAAGTAAATCACGGGGATATAAAGTGCAGCCTAGGGAATACAGTCAATAATATTGCAAGCGTGTTGTATGGTGACAGATGGTAGGCGGACTTAGTGCAGTGAGCATTGCCTAATGTATGTGAATTCGAATCCCTACGCTGAACACCCGAAACTAACAGAGCGTTGTATGTCACGCTTCAGCGAAGAAAAAGGAAACGAACACAGTGTTCACCAGACATTTGTGGACTGCCTGAATGTTGAATGAGTCAGACACCGATCAGTTGGTCAGAACCGACTCCTGCCTGAGACCCGACTGCTAAATATTCAGGAACTTGACCCGCGAGCTGTTAAACTGTTGGTAGCTTGAAATTGGCCACGGTGGGAGTCTTTAGACCACAGAAATCAGCAAAGGCTACAAATCAGGCCCCCTCTATCCCACCCCCCAGAGACCCAGTTTGCCAGCAGCCACCGGATTGACCCGCACAAGCGGGTGAGGAAGGAAGTCCATCTCAGGGGGGGCCGGAAGAATACCTACCCCACCCCCACAGCGCAGGCGTGGGCAGATGACAAGAGTCAAAGTCGCATTCTAACCTCACGTCAGTCCTGAAGCTGGTTTTTATTTTTTCCGATGTCTCAAATTAATGAGGCTGACTGTTTAGCTCCTGAGCCCAGGGTCAAAGCCTGGTCTGTGTGGGATTAAGTCTCTGTAATGGGATCAGCTCCCTGTTGTCCCTAGGCAGGACATGTCCAGTCAATGAGCTATCTGGAGCTACCAACATAGCCATGTCACAAAAAAATGTTTTTGTAAAATGTGTATTTCTTTTTTTTTTTTAATGTTTTATTTTATTTTTTGAGAGAGAGATTGAGAGAGAGAGAGAGAGAGAGAGAGTGCAAGCAGGGGAGGGGCAGAGAGAGAGAGGGAGACACAGAATCCGAAGCAGGCTCCAGGCTCTGAGCTGTCAGCCCAGAGCCCGATGCGGGGCTCGAACCCAGAAACCGTAAGATCATGACCTGAGCTGAAGTCGGACGCTTAATCCACTGATCCACCCAAACGCCCCAATAAAATGTGTGTTTCTGTTCTCTTCTTGTATCTTACATCGAGCAGAGGCTTGTAAGCGCTGGGAATTTGTGACTTTCAATGTGCCAGCTTTTACGATTTGGGGACTTCAAATGAGGATTCTCAAAAGTAAGAGCCAGCTCTTGTGCTTGAGCCATTGAGCCTGGTGGCAAATGCTTCTCTTCTTGACGTCCAGACTGTGTGTCTAGACCCCCAAAGGGCACTCAGGGGAACAGAGGGCCCTGCCCAGCGCTGGGTGCAAACTCTGAGGACCATTCCCAGTGAAGGACCCACCTCATTTAAGAACACTGATGGACGCCGCAAGCTTTTCTGGGTCCTGCAAAAGGATACAAATAGTAACAACTACCTTTTTGCCGCGCACTCCTGTACCCCTGTCACCTGCAAACCAGGCTCTCGTGTTCTTCCTTACCAGAGAATATTTGGTTTATGGAAACCACTCGCTCCTGCCCTGCACTTCCTAATCGTTGCACATCTCACTTCTGTAAGGTGTTTCTGTCCCCTCCTCGTCACCAACGGTCTTTTGAAACGGCAACATGGCACAAACTCGCCTTTCTCCTCTCATCGGATGGTGTGCGGTAAACGCAGTGAGAAGTCAAGAGAGGAGGGACCCGTTTATTTTGAGGAAGCTTCCAGGGGCCTGGATCTCCAGGTCACTCCTGGCGGTGATGATGAGCCCCTTAGGCGCCTGCAACACTCGGCAGAGGAGGAAGCTATGGAGGAAGGGGCTTTCAGGCGCGGTCACCCCACAGACAGCGCTTCAGAATCCGCTCACGTTCGCCTCCCGGAGGACCCTCCTTGGAAATAAAGTGGCCCAAACCACAGTTTGGAAAACACGGTTGGGAGGGGGCCAGTGATTGCTGCTGGGAGGGAAGAAGGTGTATTGCTCCAGAGTGGAGCCCCAGGCGGGGTTCTGTGCCTCCCAGAGTGGCACTTTTCATCTAGAAACGGGGACAAGGATGTGAAAATTGGAGGTGTGCATGCTCGCAAGGTGAGCATAGGGACTTCATTCAGCAGGCAGCCACCCCTCCCCCTTCCGAGGGAGCAGCAGTTTCTGGGGTGGGCAGCTGATAAGCCTCTGCCAAGCTCAGGGGCTGGGGTGGAACCTTCTGCTCTCCCAGGTGCCTTGACAAGGGGCTCAGTGACGTGGCCTTCCACAGTGGAAACACTCTGAAGTTGACCCAAGGCATCTCTCAGAGACATTACATACCTCCCCAAACTCTTCCCTGATGAAGGAGCTCAGATTCAAAATCACACTTAATTTATAGATGCAGACGTAAAACTAGACACAGAGCCACTGTGTGCTTGATCCTCACAGAGCTTTGCTGTCCCTTGCAGGACACTGGGAGAGAGCATCAGCCAGCCTGACATCCAGAAGACACCTGGAAATAGGAAGGATGCACTCGAAGGTCCAAAGGAGGTGGCGAGGGGCTGGAGGTGCAGAGTGGTTCAAGGCGGCCTGGGCCAGGCTGGCTTGGTGTCTCTCTTTGTCCCCAAGCAATCTCCATTTTCAGCTGTGGAGACAAGGGTCAAAGAAACCCTGAGCTCATGCTAAGTGGAAATTCAGATCAGTCAGGTGAGGCATCTGCTCTAGAGACCTCAGTGAATCAATCTGAGAGAGGGGAGGTTAAGCGAGCATGCCTGGCTTCCAGAAGTGGTGGTTTAAAATATGTCACCAAATTATTATTCTTCCCTTTAACATGGAGAACCAGGGGTGCCTGGGTAGGCTCAGTTGGGGTTGAGCGTTGGACTCTTCATTTCAGTTCAGGTCATGATCCAGCGTTGTGAGATTGGGCCTCATGGCAGGCTCTGCACTGAGTATGGAACCTGCTTGGGGTTTTTTTTTTCCCCCTCTCTCTCTCCCTCTCTCCTGCTCTCTCTCTCTAAATTAAAAAAATAAAAAATAAAATAAAATGGAGAACTAAATTCTTCTCCCCTTGAATGCAGGCCAGACTTAGTGACTTGTTTCCAATGACTAGAAAGTGGTAGAAGTGACAGTTTATGACTTCTGAGATGAGGACATAAAAGGTATTGTGACTTCTTCCTTGAATACATCCTCTTCTGAGGGAAGCCAGCTGCCATGTCATGAGGATATTCAAGTATCCTCTGAAGGGAAACTGAGGCCTTTTTTTACGAACCAGCACCAACTTGTCATCCACGTGAGTGAGCCACCTTGGAAGTCGATTCACCAGCCCCAGTCAAGCCTTCAGATGAATGCAGCCCTGTCCAACATCTTAACCCATCCTTATGAGAGACTCCCAAGTCAGAACTGCCCAGCGAAGCTGCTCCTGAATTTCTGACCCATAGAAGATAATAAATGTTTCTTATTGTTTTAAACTACTAAGTTTTGGGGAAATGTATTATACATCCCGAGATAATATACTGTAGAACTCAAACCACTGCTATTTTTGGTGCTTACACTTTTAGGTTTGTTACATCTTCCTCTTGGTGGATTGACCCTTTTATCATTCTATAATGTTCCTTTCAGTCCCTGTCAATTTTCTTTACTCTGAAGTCAAATTTATTTGATATTTACATAGCCTCTTCTACTTTATTTTGCTTAACATTTGCATGGGATATGTCTTTTTACCATCTTTGTACTCTGAACCTGCATATATCATCATATTTAAAGTGAATTTATGGACTCACTTTGTGGACTGTATGGCGTTAAGTCATTTTAAAAATTACTCTGCCAATCTGTCTTTTAGTTGGTATATTTAGACCACCTACATTTAATGTAACTGTTGATATGTTAGGGTTTAAACCTACCATTTTATTTTTTGTTTTCTGTTTGTTCTCTCTGTTTTTCCTTTCTGTTTTCTTGTTCCCTGCAGGTTACTTGAACATTTTTTAGGATTCCATTTTGGTTTATCTATGATGCTTTTTAGCATTATCTCTTTGTATGGCCTTTTCAGTAGTTGCTCTAAGCAAAATATTATGTAATATATTATATTATATTATTAATATAATCAATATATTATTATATTAATATAATATAATTATATTAATATATAATAATTAATATAATATAATAATTAAATATAATTTAATTATTACTGTATATTATCATATAATATAGTATGTAATGTAAGGTGTGTGTTTGTACACAACACTCATATATATACACACATATATATCATATACATATACATATATATCATATACACATATATATATCTTATCAAAGTCTACTGGAGCTGACATTTTACTAGGTCAAGTGTAAAAGTGTTACTTCCCTGTGTGTTCCTTTATCCTCCCATTTATAATTGTCTTAAATATTTCTCTACATTCATTGAGAACCATATTAGATGATGTTAGGATTTTTTCTTCAACTGTCAAACATAATTTTAAATACTCAAGAGAGGAAGGGAAATCTATGACAGTTTTCAGTATTTTTGCTCTTACCATGTTCTTCCTTCCTGATGTTTGAAGATTCTTTCTTTTATCGTTTCCTTTTTGCTTAGAGAATTTGCTTTAGCCATTCTTTTAGGATAGTCTGCTGGTAACAGATTTTTTTTAGGTTTTCTTCACCTGAGAATGTCTTGATTTCTTTACTCTTAAAGGATATTTTGCGGAATATAGAATTCTTTTCATTTAGCACTTGAAAAGTTGTTGTGCTCCCTTCCTCTGTCCTCCAGGGTTTCTAATGACAAATTTTCTGTCATTCCAATTGCTTTCCCCTTTAGGCAATGCACTGTTTCTCTCTGACTGCTTGTAAATATCCTGACTGCTTGTAAGAAGTTTGACTATGATATGTCTGGACATAGATTACTTTGGGTTTATCCTGCGGGAGGGTTTCTTTAGCTTTCTTGAATCTGTACGTTTTGCCAAATTTGAGAAATTCGGGGGCATTGTTTGTTTGAAGACTTTTTCAGCCCCACTCTGTTTCTCCTCTTTTCTGGGACCCCTCCCCCAACCGTCTCATATTCAGGGTGAGGGATTTGGAAGAGACGCTAATGTAAGAACATTTATTATAGTCCCACACGTCCCTGAGGTTCTTTTCACGTTTTCTCCCAGACCATTTTCTCTCTATTGTTCAGATTGGGTAAATTCTCTTGTTTTACTTGCAATTTCATTGATTCTTTGCTCTCTCCATTCTGTTGTTGGGCCCACTCGTTCGTTTTTTAAAATTTTAGTGATTGTATTTTTTGACTTCGAAAATTTCTAGTTGTGGGGCACCTGGGTGGCTCAGTCGGTTAAGCGTCTGACTTTGGCTTAGGTCATGGTTTCACAGTTCAGGAGTTTGAGCCCCGTGTCAGGTTCTGTGCTGACAGCTCAGAGCCTGGAGCCTCCTTTGGATTCTGTGTCTCCCTCTCTCTCTGCTCCCCCTCCCCTGCTTGAGCTCTGTCTCTCAAAAATAAACAAACATTAAATAAGTAGTCTCAAAAATAAAAATTTCTCGTTGTTCTCTATATCTTCTATTTCTTAGGCTTTCTATTTCTTCATTAGTTTCATATGTTCATAACTGCTCGGTGAAGCACTTTTGTAATGGTTTCTTTAAAATCTTTGCCAGGTGATTCTAACATCTATATCATCTTGGTGTTAGCATCTTTAGTTGTCTCTTACCATTCAGCTCGAGATCTTCCTAGTTCTTGGTATGATGAGTGATTTTCAGTTGAAGCCTGGACACTTTGGATATTATAAGACTCCGGATCTTGTTGAAATCTTCTGTTTTAGCAGGCCTCCTCTGACACTGGCCCAGTGGGTGAAAGGGATGCTGTCTGGTTACTTCCAGATGGAGGTCCTTGTTCTTCCCTTGGCCTACTTTGGCACCTGGGGCTGGGTAGGACTCTTCATTACTGCTGAGTGGGAATGGGAATTCAGGGAGGCTCAGAGGGCTTCAGGGAAGGAAATCATCCGAGCGGCACTGGACAGCCAGCCAAAGTCACCTAGATGCAGCAGAGGTGTGAGCACAGCCTTGCCCCAGTTCACCTCTGTTCTTCATGCACCTTCATCCTGCTTCGATTGTCACAACTCTGCCTGGGTCAACCAGCTGCCCGAGTGGGCCAGAGATGGGTCCCCACACCATTGCTTCTAACAAAAGAAGATGTAGTCTGGGAATGCTACTTGTGATGGGAGGAAATCATGGAGGACGCGAACATTCTAGAATATTTAGTAACCCTAGACAGATGATTACAAATTAAGAGTGTAGGTGGGGCGCCTGGGTGGCTCAGTCAGTTAGGCCTCCATCCGACTTTGGCTCAGGTCATGATCTCAATGGTTCTGAGTCTGAGCCCTGCATCGGGCTCTGCACTGACAGCCTGGAACCTGCTTCCAATCCTCTGTCTCCCTCTGTCTCCCTCTCTCTCTGCCCCTCCCCCGCCTGCTCTCTCTCTCAAAAATAAAACAAATAAACAGACAAACGTAAAAGACAGATTAAGAGTGTAGGTACCGGAGCCAGAATTCTTGAATTCAAATTCGGGCCAGGCCCCTTACCTCACCTCGTAAAACTTGGGCAAGTGACCTGATGGCTCTGTGTTTGCTCATCAGTAAAGTGGGGGCAATAACAATGGAGTAAAGGAGTTGTTACCAACAACTGGTTTGGTATGTAACTGGTTGTTACATACCAGCATTCAGAATAGATCTGGTACCCAGGGGGCACTCAGCAAGCGGTGGCCATATGTACAAAAAGAAAGAGTACTGAGAGATGTGTTAGACACAGCTCCGTGGACAAGAGCATCCAGTTGAGTGAGGACACCGTGCCTTGGGCATCTGAGGGGCAGTAAATAACTCAGCCTGAATGTGGGGCGGGCGGTGGGGGCTTCCCCGCAGAGGGCACGCTTGGCCCGAGTCTTACAGGGTTGTAGGAATTAGCCAGGTGGGCCGGCAGAAAGCAAAGGTCTTCTAGGGAGAGGCCCCAGCTTGCTTGGAGACCCAGAGGCTGTCCACCTTGGACCTGACTCTGGGATAAGGAGTCTTGGGAGAGGGAAGAGGAAGGAGCGAATCGTGAAGGGAAGAGGCCAGTGTGGGTTGAGGAGACCTGCCCCGGAGACAGATGCCTGGGTCTGTTTGATTTCCCAGGCCTTAGCCGCTGGTACTGGGGGCGGGAACTCTGCCCTTCGGCTGGAGGAGATGTCACGCGTCTCCTCTGGTCAGTCGAACAGCCCTCAAGAAATGTTCACGGTCCCCGAGACTTCAGCCTGCTGGAGATCTCATTTCCATGAGCACCTTGGTTGCTCTTTTTCCGCTGTTAATAAAAGATGTGTTCAGGTGACACCTGAGTGGGGGCGAGGTGGTGTTAGAGTGACAGATGGCTGTTCTGGGCCCCCTGACAGGAGGAAGAAGCTGGCCCTGAGGGATCAGGGAGAGGAGACCCAGAAGACAGCCCCTGCCCAGGCCTGCACCTGTCACCCGAGCCGTAGCCAGCGGCCACGTGGGATGATTTCATTTAAATAAATTAACATACAACAAAAAATTCAGTTACTCGGTCACACTAACTGCTTTTCCAGTGTTTCCCAGCCACATAGGGCTAGCGGCAGCAGTAAGAGTGTAGCTTTAGAGCATCCCCGTCACGCCCCAAAGTTCTGTTGGTCAGCACTGGCCCGGAGGCACCACAGGGAGGCATTTCTTCCCGTAGGAGCCTGGGGCACCCGGTAATAATTTGCTTGGGTGCGTAGAGTCAGCTGGGTTTACCAGAACTCCCTCAGGGTCTGCCCGGTGTGCAGCCGGCCTCTTCGCTCCACCTCTTGGGGGCAAACGGGGAGGCCGAGTCAAAATGCAGCTGCCAAATTGTTCTACATAATAAAGGGTGAGGCAGTTGGCAGACTGGAAACTCAGGTGTGACAGGAGCCAGCAAAAGTGGCTTTATGAAGAGGGAAGGACAAGGGGGGTGTTTCCCCCCCCGGCCCCAGCCCCCAGTGGCAGAAAAACCAAGGGGGAACTTGGGGGAAATGGTAATATTGGGTGGGATTTTTTTTTTTTTTTTTTCCCAGTAGAAAACCAGTTAAACAGTGTGACCCCTGGCCTTATCTCAAGACTACGGCAGAGACGCGAGACTCACAAAACGCTTGGTGTGCTGGCCTTTCGTGTGGGAACGGGAGAAGGGCTGAGCTGAAAACAGGAGTCAGGGGCTTGGAGAGGAGGAGGCCCGAACAACATTCATGGAGCGTCACCTCAAGCTTGGGCCTTGAGCTGTCGGGCATCTGGGACTCGAGAGTAGCTGAGACAGACACACTCCCCGTTCTCCACACGCCCAGCGTGAGTGTGCCACACACAAAGAGGTTCTGGGGCCCAAAGAACACAGAGGGCGTTCTGAATGTGTCGAGGTGGGGAGGGTGGGGGCTGGAAAGCCGCCCAAGGGAGGCACGTCAGTGCTGGGTTGTGAGGGAGGCGTAGAAGCCGCCAGATGAGAGGAAAGGGACACGAAACAGAAAGGATGCCAGGTTGGGTGTAGGCCAGAGCGCCACGATCCTCTGTCTCTCCCGCCAGACCCTGTCAGTGCTGGCCAACGGAAGGGCCTCAGTCAATAAACAGTCACTGCTCACGCCTGTCTAGGCTCTAACACCCCCCCCCCCCGCCAGGCGCTATGCTTGTGTTAGGGATTGAAGGGACCAAAGCAGAGTGGGAGGGTGAATCTCCCTTCCTGTCAAGGGGCGGAGAGGGGGAAGGGACTCCGGGCCCATCAGAAGGAGCTGAGCCTCTCAAACATCAAGAGGCCCCCGGCCGACCACCACCTGCTCACCTGAGCTCAGTCAGCTTCTTCGCCATGGGCCAGGGCTTGCTCCGCACGGTGGCAATGAGCTTCTTCTTGTCTTCTAGCTGCTCCAGGATTCGGGCCAGTTCTTCCTCTGACAGAGACTCCCCGACAGAGGCACTGGAGGCCAAGGAGGGCGATCTGGAGGCAGAGCCCGGGGCAGAGGAGGGGAGAGTGAGAAGATGGTGTCTTTAGACACCCTGCAGAATGTAGGGGAGCCCACGGGCAAGGCAGGCGGGCTGTGTTCCCTGAGCCTCCCAGCCCTGACCACCCCTCAGAGGCCCGCCCCTGCTCAGAAGCCCTCAGTGACTCCCAGCCCCCATCAGAAGAGACTGCCACT